GGGGAGGTAAAGCCGCCGGCCCGGAGACCCCAGGGCGCTCTGCCTTCCCGCCGGGCCGGGGTGCCCTCGCCGGTGCCCTGGGACCGGGACCTCGCTCCCGCCCCGTCTCTCCGCAGGAGCAGGAGGGTCCCGCCGCCTCCCCGCCCCAGCCCCGCCCGGAGCTCCCCCGACGGCGGCGTTGGGAAGCGCGACGGATGTGCATGAGCTGGTGCCCCGTCATTTACTTCAGCAAACGGGCTGTGTTTAAAAACTGCCGCTTTTTGCCATCCTTATGACCCCGGCGGTCAGGGGAGAGGGCGTCGGCCCCGGGAGAAGAAGGCCGTGAAGGTGCCCCTCGATCGGGTGGCGGGAGGAGCCTTCTCTCCGACAGGGCGGGCAGGGCGCGGGGCACCGCCGGGCCAGCCGGTCGTACCCGTGCTTGGGGCCATCGCCGGTGCTTTGGCCCCGTGTTTTTGGCAGAGAAATGTCAAATGGGCATTTGGTTGCACCCCCTCGGAGCCTGTTTTTCTCCTGGAAACCGCCCGCACTCGGGCGGGCGAGGCAACGCTCTTTTCCTCCTGGGGCAATGCTGGCCCGCAGGGCCGCGGGCGGTTTCTAGGAGGAGAACGGGCTCTGAGGGGGTGACCACGCCGAAGTAATTGGACACAGGTGCCGTTTTAAGTGTTGGAGCCAGACAGGCCCCGGTGTCTGGCTGCGGGCACCGCCGTCCGGGCTGCGCGGAGCTGGGGACAGACAAGGAACCGGCTTCGCTCGGTGCCCCTGCCACGACCCGTGAACAGCGGGCGGGAGCCACGAACGGCCCCTCCACCGAGGGGTCCCTCGCAGTGAGGCCGTGTCCCTTCGGGGCTCCGGCGGCCTTGTCCCCGGCCCCTGCGGCCGTGGCACTGCTGGGCTGCTCCGGGCGCGGGGCCGTGCTGCCCTCAGAACTGAGCAGCCGCTGCTCCGTACCCGACTTTAATGTGTTTTCAGTTGATGTAAGTAATGTCTGATTGAATTTATTGCTGATTAGCGTTGAGCATCAGTTTACACAACAAGAAATTATGTTTTATTCAGTTCATTAGCATGTCTAGTGTTTGGCTTATGAGCATATCACTAATGGTAATGACCAGTGTTGATTGATTTCTAATGTGAATATAATTACACAATGTAGGGGAATTAAAGGAAAAATCCACATTTTTAATTGTTGGGTTTTTAGGGAGTGCGTGTTGGGGGCGAGGGGGTGGAAAGGGAGAAACAAACCAACTCTCTTATGTGCAAACGATGCGAATGTACAGATTAATGACTCCAGCAGGAGACGGGGAGTTTGGTCCAACAGAAGAGCAAGTCAAATGCAGTTAGCTCTGGGAATAGTTAATGCACACTCGACATTGCAAAACATAATTTCCCTTCGTCTGCCCCCCAGGTACAGCTGGAAGCCCAATAAGTTCGTTTGGAAGCGGCCGTTCCCGAGGAGCCAGCGGAGGCAGGGCTTCGTGCATGGCCGGGCAGGCGGTTCCCTCCAGCCCCGCCGGCGGCTGCGCGGCTCGGAGGCAGAGCCGCTGCCGGGCGGTGAGAGCTGAGCCCTGCCCGGGGTCAGGGGGGGCAGCTCGCCCAGCTGCGGCATCGGCAGCGGCAGTGCCGCCCCCGGCAGGGAGCGCCGTGCCCGCCTCGCTGCCCGCATCCTTCCTGGGAGCTGGAGACCGGCAAGTGCTGGAGAGCCCTGGCTGCAGCAGGGCGAAGGGCTGCAACAGGTAAGGCGAGAGCAGCGGGACTGCCTGGGCCGGCCACCGGGTGGGGTGTTAGAGGCAAGGGAGGGAGGGGACAGTACCGTGAGGACTGGGGGTGAGCAGGTTGGAAGCAGCTTGCGTACCCCCTCTGTGCTCTGTGTCCCTGAGAGTGACCTCTGAGACTCTCTTCCGCTTATAAAGAAAGGTGGTCTGGGAGGGGAGAAATCAGAGCATTTTGTTGGAGTCATCTCCAGTGAGATATCCAGGGGGAAAGCTCAGGTTGTGAGGGAAACCTCATAGTGCAGAAATCCCAGGAATGGGGGAAGACTTGTAGAACTGTTTTTGTTTGCCTCCACTTGGTCAGGGTCAGTGGGTGAAGTGTGGCGTATACTCTGCCAGCTAAGAGTTGCCAAAAGGCCTCTCTTGTTGCTTGCCCCAAAAGAAAAGAGGCCTTGTGTTCTTGTGGAGACTGAAACAATCCGTGTGCCTTGCTGTGGGAGGAGAGGGCTTGGGCAAGGATAGCAGTGATCAGTCCCTGTATCGTGGGGCATTTGCACCTCTGTACTTTCAGCACTCCCTGAAAACCCAGTGTGGGCTGGAGGCAGTGTTGCCTGCACAGGGTGTATCAGCATTAGGTACACTTCCCCACCTTCCACTAGCACCTCCTAGACTTCCACTAGACTTCCTAGGATGTTTTCCTGGGTTACAGGGCAATGGGGTGCCACTGCTCTGGTGATCCTGGGTCAACAGCAGTGTTGGTTCCAGTGTAAACAGCTGTGTGCATGTGGGTGCAGAGCATTCTCCCTCTGCCCCATGACAGCTTTAAGCCTTCTTTTGGACAAGTGAGCAGGATAATGCCCTCTGCCTTTCTGCAGCTGTGTTCATGTCCTGGTGGGGAGATGTGATAATGAGCTGTGTCACATTTCACCAGTTGCACTTAGTTTCTTATGGTTGGGATTCCTAAAATGAAACAGTTGTTCCAGGACGTATCTGGGATGCTGAAAAGCCCTGTTTGGAAAATTTTCGTTCAGGAAGGAATTGTGGAGCTATTGGAGAATGGTTCTAGCATTGCATGGGCATGTAGACTGGAAAAATATTCCCAAGGGTCTCCTGTCTTTTCTGCCTAGATCACTAACAAAAACGGGTTCAGACAGTACTGAGTATTCCTTACAGCATGCTGCTCCCAGCACTCTTGTCGTTGGTGACCTTCTAAGAAAGAAGACCCGAGGAAGAGATGCTGGAAGAGTTTAAGCAAAATGAAGACAGAACATGTGAATAATTGTCATTCATATCAGTAATTTATGTTGTGTAGAGTATGTTAAATGAAATACAAGTGCTTCAACTTCAGTTATATTTCCAGGATTTTTTTCATCTACACAACACTCATTCAAGGACTAGAGGTTCACAGGAGGACTCCTGCTTTGTTTGCAGTTAATAGTCATGCAGCTTGTAGTGGAAATTCTCACTTCATTGTTGGGCTTCATGCTAATAAACTGTAATGTGTTTTCAATGTTTTGGGCTTCAGGGTCATTCAAGTCAGGGCCATCCTCCTTGAGCTGCTTTTATACTGACAGTTTTTTCCAATTTTTCCAGTAGTAATAACACTTTTGAAAAGGTATTTTAAATGGAAATTAACATTGTCCTGCATCTTTTCTGATAATAAAACCGCCATGCCACTAATTGCATGATAGCTGGTTTTGCTGTTGCTGTCACCAAAGCAGGTCAATATTTCTTTCTGTTATGAAATAAAAATACTGAGTCTTAGGAAAAAAAAAGTTATAAACATATCATATTACTAACTCCACAGTTCTTTCCTTCACAATGTCTTGTAAAACACTACAGGATATTGGTCAGACTGCCTGCTATGTTGACCTTATAAATACCATTTCCACAGAAAAAAATGGAGAAGTATTTGGTACTTTGCCATGCATGTGGTACTATTCCTGATTTCATATGTTTTAATATCTGGTCCACAGGACTAGATGGGTCAGTTATCCTTCCTTACTTTGACTCTCCCGGATTCTTTGGCACATGTTGAGTTATGTTTTAAAATTATTGATTGGCATGGACTCATAATTCCCTTCTGAATGTTTTTATAATTTCTTGGGTTTGCATCTCCCAGCTGTCAATAGAGTTGAATTTCTCTACGACTCTGTCTATTCAGGTGTGGGGAAGGAGAAGCTTCTGATGTCTCTCTTTTTAATCTGGTTTTATTGTTCCTTTGCTGTCTTCTGAGTGATTAATCTCACTATTTTAGCCTTCAAAGAGCCTTTCCAGAGGCTCAATCGTTCATACAACCCAGAGGATTGCAGCCTCTAGTTTTGAAATGCCTCTTTTGAAATGGTAGGACCAGCTCTATCCAGAAGAGTGAGATGAGGCTCAGCAGTTATTATATACATAACAGAAATACTAATTTGAGTAGCTGTGAGGTTTGTCGTGTGGCCAGCTTCTTGTAGTGATGTATTGAGCAGAGATCTTCACTGAGTTTCCTGCAATATTCCCAGGTCCCCATTGTGGCTTGATTAAGCTAATTGAGAGCCCTACTAGTAATTAACCACCATTAATATACATAAACTTATCAGCTTTGCATTTAGCTTATCATGCACGTGAAAAATTGCGTAGCTCTGACCAAACTCAGAATTAAATTGTTTTCCCATCCTGAAGTAAGACATCACTGAGTCTTGAAGCGCTGGTTTAGTGTAGCATTTTGACCTGTGAAAGGATCTTTCTTTTTTAAAGTAGAGGTGCCAGGGCTCATTTTATAAGATATGGCTTTAAATTCCAGTGGGTCATTAAATGAGATTTTCTGCTGACATAAATTTGCATAGCTGTGTTGCAGTGCAGATTCTTGCAACTTATTCTGCCCATGGGATCTTATGGCAGAAGCCAGGAAATTGTGCTGTTACAGAAATATATCCCAGTCCCATTTCCTCAGTTGTTGCAAACAGTAGATGCACGAGACAAGGATTATTTGGATTACTAAGATTTTTGAAGAAACCTGTTCATATTTCTTCTTCTCTTGTTTTATTTTATTTTTTTCATGTGGCTTTACATAACACAGCTGAATTCTTTTGGCCATGTTTTCAAGATCTTGTAAAGCTTCTGGAAAAGTATGGAGGCATTTAATAGCTTTAGTGGCAAACATATGGTGGAAGGATTCTGTTGTCCAAAAAAATAAGATGCCTAGGATAGGTTTGGTTTTGGTTTTTTTTTTGTTTTTTTTTTTTAAATCATTGGAATGTTACAGGGACAAACTGGTCCAGTGTTATCTGTTGATGGTCATGTTAAGTTCCATCAGTGTAGGGGTTTTGGTGCATAACCAGTTCTAGTCCCATGTCAAACTTTACCTACTTAAAATATTTATATTAAAGGTGCAGAAAAAGAATAACATCCATTGAAATTAACATATCAAGTAAGGTATTTGTTTAAATAATATCTGTTACTATTTTCTCTTGAAATGGTAGATGGTTTTTTGAAGAAACCATCTCCCCTCTGCTGGTAGACACCACCAGTCTTTCAGAGGGTACCTAAGATTTGAAGACTTGTCCTGGGAAGTGGGAATGGAAATAGTTGAACTGTTTTGGAGCTGTTTTAAGACAAAACAAGTGAAGTGCTTATAAAAATGTATAGAACAGAATATCAAGGACAAATACAAATTTTGTTTCTGACACAGTTTTGTGTGTTTTTATAGCTGAGATGGTCATCGTATTCACTCCTCAGAAACCAGGCAAGCTGATGCTCGAGTTCCCTGGGCCAATTAGTCACTACCCACAGGTTTGGTTGTGACTGCTTTATGCTCATAACAGTGGTAATGCAGCCAAATCCCTTTGGTTGCACTTCAGCAGCTGCAAAGATGAGTTCTGTATAACCACAGATCAACTGCAGAACGGTAATTTTAGTTTAATGTTTAAATATGTTTTTAATGTTCCCTTACTGTAATGTGCTTTGAACAAAGCTGAAGATGTTGCAAATACAACATTGGGGTGTTGTTTGTAAATTGATATAATTAGGAGGTGATCTGATCAATGCTGTTGGTGTCAGCATGTTCCAAAGAAGGCAGGGCTGTTCATTCAGGTTGGCTTCACATGTATCCACTTAATTTGAAGCTGTGTGAACATATTTTATATTTTCCAAATGTATCTGTCACATCCTACCTTAATGGTGACAGCACATCATATCACACTGTGTTTCTGTCTTACTGTACCTACACTAGTGTCTAATGAATGCTTCTGCACAAAGGCTGTTGTACACAGCGCAGCTGAGTGAGTTCCTGTCTGACTCAGGTGCTTTTCGCTCAGCCCCTGCAGTTTATGGAAATTTTCCTCCTGTTACACTGTGGCCAGGTTAGACTAACCCTGTGTATGTTCTCAGGGCCAGAGGAAGATTGCAAGACACTTCTTCCTGCAGCTGTACATCAGGAAAGTGTTTTTGCAAGCTTGAAGCAGAAGGACTATTGCACGGTAGGAAGCACTAAACACTTTTGAGCAAGCGAGGTAAGCCCTGGCCACATGTGACCACTTGTGGCAGAGTTTTAAACCCTTTGCCACAGCAGTTTGTCTTTGCCTGCAACATCAGTAATGTGCTGTAGAAGTACAGTCCTTTATATCTGGAGACATATTTCGTACATTCCTTCTGTTACAGTTGCTCATTTGCTGAGTTTCCTCTACAAGTTGTGCAGCTTTTCAGTTTTGACTGCTTTAGTAATCTTTCTTCTCATAAGGCCCAATACTTGAGCCCTGCCAGTCATGAGGAGAGCCTCTTTACTGTGGTAACTGGGTTTGTGCCTGCCTGTTTGTGTATTGACTGCCTGTCATCCCGGAGATTAACTTAAAATAATTCTTGCCTTTAGTAGCCCTTCTCAGTTTTTTCCACTATTTTTATAGGTTGTTCGTGCTGTGCTTCTGCTTTTCTAACTTAATTTTTTTTCTTGTTTAGAAGAACCCTGTTGATATAGAGTATTAGGGTCTCTGCTGGAAACCAGTAATACGTTAATTCTGGCTGAAGTACTGACTACCCATATCTGTGATTGGTTCCTCAGGAGAGGATGGAGATAGATACCAATATATCTAGTTACTCTGTTGAGAAGCCTACTGTTTTGCAAAACACTTAAAATGTGCTTGATGTGAAAAATATGTTGGTCCAGTTGAAAGCAACAAGGTGCTTCATGTTCTCAAAGTTAAAGCGCTTAAGCATAAGCTTACTGGCTGTGTATGCCTTCAGGCTAGATAACAGAAGTACAAGAGTTGTTTTATATCTAAACTAGCAGATAAAAGTGGCCTTTTGAAAACTGGAACATTCCTTTAGAAGGAAGCACAAGGAATACTCAGCTGCTTTTAAGGTGGATGGCAAATGTGCATTTGTGAAGAAGACAGATGTGGAGGCTTGTTCTGTACTTACACATAAGCCCAAATTAGCAAGTTTGTTTCTTTGACTAATAAGTTACTTCATTAAACATTATTGACCCTGACTGGCATACTGCTATGTTGTGAAGTGCAGTAGCAAAAACCATTAAAAAAAGGTTGCTCTGCATGGTAAAGTTATGCAATATGTGAGGTTTAGTTTCTGTATCTGTTTTACCAAGGAGGTAAATTGTACCTGTTTCTTTGGCTGGCGTGGATTAATTTATTATCCATACAGGATGGGACAACAACTCTTCCCTGTCCCAGTTATACATGGCATAAGAGCCCAGAAGAATTATCCTATTGGTAGTTCCTTACATAAGCATCCATCCAGGCTCATGGCTGAGCGTGAAGTTTCGTATGGTTCAGAGTTAAATGTTACAAGGGAATAAAATTCTTCTCAGTAAATGGTAGTGAAAACGCAGTAGGAGGTATTTTGTTCAGGGAATACAAGCTATTGTCCTACCCTTGTCCAGAAGGCTGCATACATCAAACAGAAGATGTCTTCCTTACGTTCTAGCTAAATCAATGTTATTTCTTCCAGAATACTGCTGCTTCCGTTCCTAGAGATAAAAAAACATAGCTCACTGTCAGTAGATAATTCCTTCTCTTGGGCTTTCTGTCCTTGACCAGTAGAAGTTTTTATTTTTCTTAGACAAGGAAGCCTTTCTTTATCCCTGGAAGATTAAATTGCCTTGCTGGTAGATCTGCCTTACTGAAGAAACAGAGGAGGAAGAGCAGATAGGGAAGAAATAGAAAAGGAAATAATTTCAGGGTATCTTTATAGTCTCCTATTGTTAGGATGTCAATTACTATCATATTTCACCTATACCGCAAACTTGTCATAGCTTGGGGTATTTCTTCTTTTTTTTCCCCTCCGTGTAGTAGAAAGTATATCAGTTATCCATGTGAAATCTTTTTTATTGCTGGAATCATCTTTAAAGTATAGCCATGATGCTCAGGGGGATTTACTTTTTAACATCCTATTCAGAAAGATGAATATTAAAAGATCATAGTTTTTTAAAATCCAGTTGGGCATTCCCTGGGAATAATTGCAGAAAATATTGACCTTTTCAGCTTTTTTAGTTGGCACAGCCCTCATTTTAAGTGCTGTTACCTCACATGACAGAATGGTCAAAAATGGTGATTTAAGCAGTGTGTCTGTAACTGTGGGCTCTGATTTAACTACAGTACTCATTTTGATGAGTGCACAGTGCACTTAGTTACTGTAAACATGGATTTTTTCAAAATAGTGTTTAGGAGTAGAAAGGAGGTTAATGAACAGCGAAAAACCAAAATTGCTTCTCTAATTGACAAAAAGGCCTGCAGGGAGTCAGCCAGGCTGCACACAGGGGAGGCACAGGGGCTGTGGTCAGTGGTCCAGGGTGGTGGTTCATTACTGATGGCTGTATTTAGGGCTCTGCTGACACACAGCTGCAATGGGCCCAGCTCTTAGCAGTGGGTTTTTGCCTCCACAGCAATCAGACTTCCAGAGTACCAGGAAAGAAGGGAAGCACTTATTCACAAAACATGTCAACTGGCAGACTTTAGATACAGGTCTTCCCTTTCCTTGGTGATGTGGGAACAAGAACTGACTTACATTCCTTGGAGCCCAGATATTCCTCCCACCCTTGGAAGGACAGTGCAGGTCCATCACTACATGCTGGAAGTGTTTGTGTGACCTTCTGAGAACAGCTCCTGTCCCGAGTGCTTTTCTTTCAAGCTTCGACATTGACTGTGGCCAGAGAAAGTTTGTCGGAAGGGCTCCCAGCTCTCCCTGGGAACAGAAGACAGAGGGAGAATGATGAATGGAGCTAAAAGGTGAGAGCTATCTGCTAGTTCAGCTCTCCCTTGGTCAAGTATTCCCTCCTTGATCTACCTAATTCTTACCTAGAGTCAGTCCTCTATTTCCTTTCAATTAGAGCTCCATCCTACTTTTCTGTCCCTTCCAGTTTGTGGATTTTAATCCTTTCTCAAGTCTGTTTCACTTGTATTTCTTTGCTTTCATGACTCAGGACTTTTTTTTCTCACTTCCTTCACGCTATGTCATTTCTTCTGGCTGGAACAATGTCCTCCTTTTCTGAAAGGAAACATCAGTCCAGTGGGGGGATTAAAGGAGATTTTAAAATAAATTCATAGGGAGTCTCAATGCCTTGCAAAAACTGGAGAAAAAAATGGCAGCGAGTTTCCATTCTAGTGAGCTTTATTTCTGTGCAGCATAATGTAATTCATAATGTTATCAATGTCTATAAAAGCATAAAGAAAAAGCAGCAGTAGGAGTTACAAAAAAAAAATCAAAAGCCTTGTAAAAGGTATAAAATTAAACTTCAAAATACTGTAGAAGAGGAGAAAGGGCGAGAACCACAAATTGCAGGCTATTGTGGAAGAAACAACTTTGGAAAGATCTAGAAGTGAAGCCAAAAGATGGAAGAAGCCCCCCTAAACCAGCAAAAGAGAAGTCCATCTAAACCAGTTTTAGCTGAATAGGTTAGGAGCTGAAGAGGAAGGAAAGGTTAAGCAATTTTCAATTATGTTGTATGCAGAAAGAAGAAATAATCACAAGCTTTCCTCTGAGTAAGGGGTATTGGAGAAACACTGTCAGTTTGACTGTATTGCTGAGACAGTGTCTAAAAATAAACGTTCTCCCAGCTTTCTCCTCAAACTTCCTCTCTGTCTTTAAATAACATAAAAAACTCCATAAATCCACCACAAAATATAAATCTCAAAAATGAGCCATCAAAATGACAGTTTCTTCTTTAAACTTACTGTTAGATGTTAGATCACAAATTCTCTTCTGCTATAATGAACATGGTTAGAACGATAGGTGTTCCCTTCCAAACCATCTTGAAATGCAAATAATTCAATGGAGAACTATATTGATAAAGTGTTTCATGCTCTAAGTTAACATGAATTTCATACCAGCTATAGCTGCTATTAGCGGGGTAAAGGTTTGGATAATCTCTGTCCAATTTCTCCCAGACAGGTGTGTTTCTGCTACCAATGTGACTCTACAACTTATGGCAGGGGCACAGTGCCTCGAAGACTTACGACCTTTGCTTGACATAAAAGCAGAACTGAATGAGATTTTGATAAGAGAACATCAATAAGATAATGATAAGATGCGTCAAGAGATAGACTGGTTATAGTTTCTTTTTCATAGGCATGGTTACTGCTGTTTTGTCCCGAACACTATTTTCAGCTCATTGAAATCTGCCTAACTTTAAACTCACAAAGCAACTTACTTTATTTATTTATTTATTTATTTAGGCAAGTGTTGATTTGCATCTGTTCTCGTGTGTAGGAGTCTCTGCTTCATCATATATTAAAACTGTTACCTTAAATGTTCTGCCCAGGGCCTGTGCAGCATTATGGATTTGTATGTTTGAAACAAGGAATGTTTCCTCCAGTTACATAGCTAAGCAACTAATGGAATGGGTGAATCTTTCCTTGTGATTTGTAATGTTTCCCTGTTCCCAGTTAACTAAATTGTTTTGACTCCAAGACAGATCTGTTTTGAGAGGTGATGAAGAAACCTCAGACAAAACAATAGATTTTTAATTTTACTAGTATGTCAGGTTGTTCCCATGCTGTTAATGCTACTTGTACCTAACAATGCCTACTTTATTCTTTTGCTAGTAAGATGTTAGATGCATAAGGCTCATACATGTTACTAATATTAGGGTATTCAAGACTTTTTGCCTTGTCAAATAAGCGAATCCTTGGCTTGACTTTTCAAAACTCAGTTGTTTAATTTTTCTGTTTTGTTTTCGCACTGCCATTTTAGTAATCTGATTAGTCTGATTTGAGTTAGTTCTAAATGTTGTTATGCAGAAACAGGGAAAATGGGGATATCTATCCCAGGCTAGAGAAGTAAAGAACTAAATCTGTGACCATTCCCTGATAGGCCCTGGTGTGTGTCAGATCTGTGTTTTCAATCCCACAGCCCCCTGATGTGATTCTCGGCTCTTACGTGATAACACTTGCTAATGGGAACTGCCCTTGCAGAATTCTGCTAACCATAATAAGGTGCACATTGTATAAGAATAAAACCAGCTCAGCTTTATTATGTGACTTGCATGCCTGGTAATGAATAGAAGGAAGGCACACACCTTCACGAACAGAGAAATTTAATATAGTCTCTTCCTGGAGTTGCACCAGTGGGACTGAAAGTTTATTTCAGCATTCCAAGGGCAATAAAAATCTAAATTTAAACTCAAAATGTACTCAAAAGAGTACCCAGAGGCTGTGTACTGTTCAAACTTTGTTTAGGTCATAACTGCTTATGTAAAGTTAGTTTATACCAGCTAGTTAGGTTTTATGTTTTTGAGCAGTATCTCTATTACTAGGAAAGACATAGCAAGTGGAGGGGGTGCATCTGAAAATTCAGCTCTGCTTTACTATTGCATTTAATTCAGCTGCTTACTGCTTAGTGCACAGCTATGTGAAGAGATCTGTAGCTCTTCACCTTCATTGTGCAGACTTCTTTAAATCTATTCTGATCCATTCCCATGGTTAGACATCTCAGATATTTGGGGTTTAAGGTAAATATGAAAGGGAGAGGTGAAGAAGATTCCAGGTGAAGGTGGGCTATAGCAAGTAAACTCCTGTTAACTCTAAACACAGATATGAAAGACTGAATACAAACAGTAACCAGATGTTAGCCAGTGGGCTCTCAGTTCAGTGTTTTGCTTGTTCAAACTGCTTCTAGCTTTAAAAGTGGGGATGAGGAGAAGAGAAACTTGGATGCTATGTCTGCAACATGAATACAAGTGGTACAGGATAAGGGAATCAGCTGGAGCTTTTCTGAAGTCACATGAATGATCTGGTGGCAGGGACATCACAGGATGGCTCAGGTTGGAAGGGACCACAGTGGGTCATCTGGTCCCACTTCCCTGCTTAAGTAGAGTCATCCCAAAGCACGTGGCACAGGATTGTGTCCAGATGGTTCTTGAATGTCTCCAGTGTGGGAGACTCCACACCCTCTCAGGACAATCTGTTCCAGTGCTCGGTCACTGCACAGTAAAGAAGTTCTTCTTCATGTTCGGATGGAACTTCCAGTGCATCAGTTTCTGCCCGTTGTCTCCTGTCCAATTGCTCTGCACCACTGAGCTGAGCCTGGGCCGTCCTCTGACACCCTCCCTTCAGATTCTGGCAGAGATTCCTCTCTCAGTCACCTCTTCTCAATGCTGTCAGGTGCTCTTGTGAGATTATGAGTTGCCACAGCTTTCTGGAAAGGCTGCGACTGCTGGATTTAGCCACTGTAAAGGAGGAGTAGGAGTTGGAGGGGTGTGAGGGGGTAGTTTTGGTGAGAAAACATGAGGGGAAGCAGCATTCTTGTTTAGTGCCATGTTCCATCTCTGTATCCTGCTTGCATACATAGGAATACAACCAGGCTTCCACAGAGCCAGCAGGCAGGAAGTGAGGAACAGGTTTCAAAAGTGCTGATCTTAATGCCACAAACACTTTCTCCATTGTGGCTTGCAAAGTCTGTCAGCCTGACTTTGCAGAATTGAATGTTTCAAGTTTTCTTGGAGCAGATATCGATGCAAGTGGCCATGGGATGTGAAAAGTGCTGGCTTTCTGACTTCTCTGAGAGAAACTGTAAATTTCCAAGCATTTAAAATACAGTTTCTGAGTGTCCCTTTGGGTAATTGTTAAAGTTAACACTCATGTTTATTTACTCTCAGTTTGTTCGTTCTTTGAAATAGTTGTGCTATGGGAAGCATGACCAACATTTTTTAGGTATTTGATATCACAACAAAGATTGAAAAAAACTACATTACATAAAAATACCTTTTATTGTTCAGAAAAGGTCAAAAAGTTTCAGTATGTTGGAAGACTAATAGGCATAAAATGTAATCTCCAAAACTGACAGTGTCTAAAACTACAGATAAGTACACAAGAAACCCAGCTGAAGAGAAACTTGTGCCTTTTATACACACCAAGATATATTTACAAATCACCTTATATAAGTCTCCTGATAAAGGTTCCAGCTTCTTTTTGTTTCTTCTGTGTTCTAATTGCCAGTCCCTCTTTTCCATCAGCTCCTGTTTTATGTACCCTTTCTCAGTTTTACCTGCCTTCCCAGACCTATGTAGATGTCCTTAGATCTCCTTTCATCTTTTGATATCTGTTTCACCATAATTGCTGCATCCTTCTAATTTCCTACACTGTTTGCATTTGCTGGCATTCAGCTATTGGCATTGCTAATATTTTTCCAGTCCCAAAATAGTGTTTTAATACAGTTTTAGTGTCCAGTCTGGTCCTTTGTGCATGGAAATTCCCGCTAGTGAATTTCCTGAAAACACCACATAATTTCTTCTTTTCCTTGACTATCTTGCTTCACACATGCTATATTCATAGTTTTCTTGTTAGTTTTATTACAGCATTTTTATAAGATTGTTTGTCCTCACCAAGATGGCTTTCCAGTAATGAGCAAATGTTAGCAATTCCTAAAATGTGTGCATGCATGTTTCAACAGTACTTGCCACCATGATGTTAAAAGATAAATATTTATTGCTCGGTAAAGCTGTTACTCCTAACTGTGGACATGCTAGAGCCTTTTGAACAAAATATTTGTGGATTGGATTGTGTTCAGATTGGAAACACATCTAGATGTTTCTAATTCTTCCCAAGTTTATTTAGACATTTTTGAGAAAATGAGATTTTTGTTTCTCTTAGTTTCTTTTACATGTGTTATTTTTACTCTGACCTTAATAGTCTGAGAACTATAGAAATTACAAATTTTCAAAGCAGACAAAACATCAGTTGCAGCCT